TGACAGTTTGATTTCACAGAAGTGTGATTGACTTAGAGTTACATTGTGTTGTTTAAGTGTTCCCTTTATTTGTTTGAGCAGTGTACATCCACAGGTACACCTCCAACTGACTCAAATGATGTCAATTAGCCTATCAGAAGCTTCTAAAGCCATGACATCATTTTCTGGAATTTTCCAAGCTGTTTAAAGGCACAGTCAACTTAGTGTATGTACACTTCTGACCCACTGGAATTGTGATACAGTGAATTATATGTGAAATAATCTGTCTGTAAACAAAGTAGATGTCCTAACCGACTTGCCAAAACCATAGTTTGTTAACAAGAAATTTGTGGAGTGGTTGAAAAACAAGTTTTAATGACTCCAACCTTAGTGTATGTAAACTTCCGACTTCAACTGTAAATACAACAACAGAAACTCACCCAGACATGTCCTGTCTCTCCAGTTTGACAAGAACATCGTACAGATTCTGGTCCAGCTGCATACGGTGTGTATAAAAGAGAGGGAGAGAGAAATAGAAGCGAGGGAGAGACGAGAGAGATGAGTAGAGAGAGAGAGAGATAGGATATAGAGAGAGAGAGAGAGAGAGATATAGCGAGAGGGATGCTCGACGATCTCTCGCGGCGACTTGATTCTCCGTCTCTCTCGCGGATCGATCGAGCGCTCTCGATGCTCTCTACTTTTCTCCTGTCCTCTTCTCTCGCCGCGCTGCTCTCTCGCCGCTCGCTCCTCGCGCTCTCGTCTCTCTCTTCTTTCCTCCTCTCCCCTCGCTCGCTCTTCTTTCCTCGCTCTCCGCTCTCCCTCCTTTTTTCCCCGCGCGCTGCTTCCCTCTCGCGCCTCTCTCTCGCTCTCTCTCGCTCTTCGCTCTCTCTCGCTCTCTTCTCCCCTTCTCTCTCTCCTTTTTCGCTCCCCCTTCGCTCTCTCGCTCTCCTCTCTCCCCCGCTCTCCCGCCTCCCTCCGCTCTCTCGCTCCGCCCTCCTCTCCCTCTCCCCGCTCTCTCTCCCCTCTTCTGGGCCTCTCCCGCGCGCCGTCTCTCTTCTCTCTCTCTGGGCCCTTGCGCGGCGCGCTTCAATTGCTCTCTGGGGGGCCTCTCTCGCTCTCTCTTCTTCTCGCCCCCCTCCCCTCTTTTCTTCGCTCTCGTGCGCCCGGGTCCAAAAAAAACCCCCCCCCTCCTTTTCCCCTCTTGGATACCCAGGGACTTCTTCGTTACCCCCAAACCCCGAAATTCCATTCAAAAATCAAAACCTTGGGGAAATTGGAAAAACCGGGCCCCCTTTCCCCCATCCCCTTGGGGAACTTTTTCCTCAAACCCAGCCTACGGGGGAAAATTTGGCTTACTAGAACCCAAACACGACTAGGGAGAAAAGGATGAGGGGGGAAAGGGGGAAAAGGAAAAAGGGGAAAAAAGTGGAAGGGGGAGGGGAGAATTTTAAAAAATTTCCTTTTTAAAAACCTTATTAAAAATGACGCTTAATTTCTAGCTATACTGCCCTATAAAAAAATCGAACCTAAAAATACTATATTCTATTTTTTTTTTCCCTTTCCCAAATTTTTAAACCTTTTCCCAAATTTTGGGGAGCCCCAAACCTTTTTCCATAGTGATTGTACCTTTTTCCATATGAATGTACCTGTTCCATAGTAAATATGAAACCTTTTCCATGTAATGTACCTGTTCCTTTAGTGATTTTACCTGTTCCATAGTAAATTGGGTCCTTTTTCCCCTAGGGGAGACCTACCTGTTCAATATGATATGTACCTGTTCCATAGTGAAAAATGTCCCTTTTTCCCAATTTTGATATTCCCCTTTTTCCAAAAGTGAGACCTACCTGTTCCAAATAGTGATATTTTACCTGTTCCATAGGGGGATTGTCCCTTTTTCCATATGGTAGGGAAAATTTTTCCCATGTGAAATGAACCTGTTCCATATGATTTGTACCTTTTCCCAATGTGAGACCTACCTGTTCCTAATGAGCCCTTTCCCCTTTTTCCAAAGTGAACCAAACCTGTTCCATATGATATGTTACCTTTTCCCAAAGTGATAGTACCTGTTCCATAGGGGATTTACCTGTTCCATGTGTAGGTCCCTGTTCCATAGTGAGATTTTACCTTTTTCCATGGGTTGATATGTCCCTTTTCCCATAGTGTAGGAAACCTTTTCCCATAGTGATATGTACCTTTTCCCCATAGGGGAATTTTTTGCCGTTCCATAGTGAGCCCCTACCTGTTTCCATAGTGTTTATGTCCTTTTCCCCATATTGAGACCACTTTTCCCTTAGTGATTTTAAACCTTTTTCCCAAGTGATAGGGAAACCCTTTTTTCCTATTGAGACCACCTGTTCCATATTAAATTGTACCTTTCCCCTAGTGAATTACCTTTCCTGTGATTTTTACCCCTGTTCCATAGGGGATATGTACCTTTTTCCCTAGTGTATGTACCTGTTCCATAGTGAGACCTCCCCTGTTCCATATGATTGAAACCTGTTCCTGTGAAAACCTCCCTTTCCATAGGATATGTACCTGTTCCATATGATATTTTTCCCTTTTCCCAAGGGGGATATTCCTTTTTCCATAGGGGTTTTTCCCTTTTTCCATAGTAAACCCTCCCTTTTTCCAAAAGTGATATTCCCTTTTTTCCAAAAAGGGGTTTAATTGAAACCTTTTCCCAAAGTGAGACCTACCTTTTCCCAAATTTTAAAGACCTACCCTTTTCCCATAGGGGATATGAAATCTTTTCCCCATGATAGGTCCCGTTCCAAGTATTGTCCCTGTTCCATAGGGGATATGTACCTTTTCCCCTTTTTTTGAGCCTACCTTTTCCATATATATGTCCCTTTTTCCAAAAGGGGAACCTATTTTTCCTAGTGATATGTACCGGTTCCATAGTAATTCCCTGTTCCATATTTAAATTTGTACCTTTTCCATAGTGTATTACCGTTCCTAGGGGATTTACCTGTTTCCATGGGTGAATTCCTTTCCATATTGATTGTACCTTTTCCCCATAGTGATTGTACCATTCCTATGAGATGTCCTGTTCCAAGTGATTTTGTCCTTTTCCCATGGGTGATATGTCCCTTTTTCCATAGTGAGACCAAACCTGTTCCATATTTATATTATTTTTTCCTTTGTGAAAACCTCCCGGTTCCTATGATTTTTCCTTTTTTCCTTTAGTGATTGAACCTTTTTCCCATATGTATTTTCCCTTTTCCATTTTGATTTTTACCTTTTTTCCAAAATTGAATGTCCCTTTTTCCATAGTGATAGGGACCTTTTCCCAAATTTTGGGATATTTTTACCTTTTTTCCAAATAGGTTTTGAAACCATTCCATAGTGAATGACCTTTTTCCATTTTGATACTACCGGGTTCCATAGGGGATACGTACCTTTTTCCATAGTGATATGAAACCTTTTTCCATTTTATATTTCCCTTTTTCCAATAGTGATAGGTACCTTTTTCCAATGGGTGATATGTACCTTTTTCCATAGTGAGACGTACCTTTTTTCCATATGAACCTACCTTTTTTCCCTGTGGACCTACCTGTTCCTTTAAGGGATACGTCCTTTTTTCCATAGTAAATAGAAACCTTTTTCCTTTGGATATGTCCCGGGGTTCCATAGGGGATTGAAACCGTTCCAAAATGAGACGTCCCCCTTTTCCCATGGGAAACTACCTGCCTATTGTTTACGTCCCTGTTCCATGTTATATGAAACCTGTTCCAAAAGTGAAAATGCCCCCGTTCTATAGTGTATGTCCCTTTTTTATATTTAATTTTACCTGTTCCATGTGATATTTTACCTTTTCCATAGGGGGATACTTTAACCTTTTTCCATAGGAGCCCTACCTGTTCCATTTGAATGTCCCCTTTTTCCCTAGTAAACCCTTTACCTTTTCCTATGATAGGGTCCCTTTTCCCAAATGGGTGAATTTTCCTTTTTCCTAGGGGATATTTTCCCTGTTCCATAGTGATATGTACCTTTTCCATGGGAAATATGTACCTTTTCCATGGAGACCTACCTTTTTCCATAGTGATAGTCCCCTTGTTTTCCATAGTGTATGTACCTTTTCCCAAAAGTGAGCCCTACCTTTTTCCATAGTGAGACCAAACCTTTTTCCATGGGTATTTTAAACTGCCCCCTAGTAAATTGTATCTTTTCCCATAGTGATAGGAAACCTGTTCCATAGTGATATGTCCCTGTTCCAAAAGTAAACCTCCCTTTTTCCCAAATAGTTTATGTACCTTTTTTCCATAGGGAGCCTACCTGTTCCATAGTGATATGAAACCTTTCCATAGTGATATTCCAGTTCCAAAATGATATGAAACCTTTTCCCATAGTGATTGTACCTGTTCCATATGATATGTACCTTTTCCCATAGTGAATGTCCTTTTTCCAAGTGATTTCCCCCTTTTTCCATAGGATATTACCTTTTCCCCATGGGATAACCTGTTCCAAAAGTGATATGTACTTTTCCATATGAACCCCCTGTTCCATAGTGATATGTACCTTTTCCCCTGGTGAGCCCCCAATCCCTGTTCCATGTGATAGGGTACCTTTTTTTCCTAGGAATGTCCCCTTTTCCCAAATATTGAATGAAACCTTTTTCCATAGTGAATGTCCCTGTTCCATAGTGTATGTACCTTTTTCCATAGTGAATGAAAACCATTTCCTAGTGAGATTTACCTTTTCCATAGTGATTCCCCCTTTTTTCCATAGGGGATATTCCCCCCTTTGTTCCATAGTGATATGTACCTGTTCCATAGTGAGACGTACCTGTTCCATAGTGAGACCTACCTGTTCCATAGTGAGACCTACCTGTTCCATAGTGATACGTACCTGTTCCATAGTGATATGTACCTGTTCCATTGTGATATGTACCTGTTCCATAGTGATATGTACCTGTTCCATAGTGAGACGTACCTGTTCCATAGTGAGACCTACCTGTTCCATAGTGATACGTACCTGTTCCATAGTTATATGTACCTGTTCCATAGTGAGATGTACCTGTTCTATAGTGATATGTACCTGTTCCATAGTGATATGTACCTGTTCCATAGTGATACGTACCTGTTCCATAGTGAGGGCAGTTCCTCCTGCAGATCTTCATTAATCTCCTCAAACACCTTCTGAGCTCTCTCCAACTCATCCTCCGCCTGACACACACAGACACACACACACACACACACACACACACACAACACACAATATCTGTCACAAGGCTCTGATGATTCTTTATATCGCTTCCCGTTCCAATACACTACACACTGAGTGGACAAAACATTATGAACACCTGCTCTTCCCGTTCCAATACGCTACACACTGAGTGGACAAAACATTATTGAACACCTGCTCGTCCCGTTCCAATACGCTACACACTGAGTGGACAAAACATTATGAACACCTGCTCTTCCCGTTCCAATACGCTACACACTGAGTGGACAAAACATTATGAACACCTGCTCTTCCCGTTCCAATACGCTACACACTGAGTGGACAAAACATTATGAACACCTGCTCTTTCCCGTTCCAATACGCTACACACTGAGTGGACAAAACATTATGAACAACCTGCTCTTCCCGTTCCAATACGCTACACACTGAGTGGACAAAACATTATGAACACCTGCTCTTCCCGTTCCAATACGCTACACACTGAGTGGACAAAACATTATGAACACCTGCTCTTCCCGTTCCAATACGCTAGACACTGAGTGGACAAAACATTATGAACACCTGCTCTTCCTGTTCCAATACGCTAGACACTGAGTGGACAAAACATTATGAACACCTGCTCTTCCTGTTCCAATACGCTAGACACTGAGTGGACAAAACATTATGAACACCTGCTCTTCCCGTTCCAATACGCTACACACTGAGTGGACAAAACATTATGAACACTACACACGACAGACTGACCAGGTGAATGATTAAGGGGAGGGGACAGGTTAAAGAAGGATTTGTATTTATTGTGTATGTGTTCCATTCAGAGGGTGAATGGGCAAGACAAAATATTTAAGTGTCTTTGAACTGGGTATGGTAGTAGGAGCCAGGCGCACCGGTTTGTGCCAAGAACTGCAACGCTGCTGGGTTTTTCCACGACTAGCCAACTACTAGCCAACGACTAGCCAACGACTAGCCAACTACTGGCCAACTACTAGCCAACGACTAGCCAACTACTAGCCAACTACTAGCCAACTACTAGCCAACTACTGGCCAACTACTGGCCAATAACTAGCCAACTACTGGCCAACTACTAGCCAACTACTTGCCAACGACTAGCCAACTACTAGCCAACTACTAGCCAACTACTTGGCCAACGACTGGCCATCAACTGGCCAAATGGAGACTCTTTCTAAAGTTTTAAAGCTATTGCAGGCAGATTATATACTAGACTAGATTCTTAAATCCCCATGAAAGCAGTAGTCGACAGGGTGGTTGACAAGGGTGATGGACCCACCTGGTTCCTGGAGAGGTTACTCTGAGCAATGTTGTGGGCTGACAGGATGCCCTGAGCCCAAACTGGAGTGGCCCTCTCCAACAGAGACGCTGGCTGGAGGTAGGAAGAGAGAGGATACTAATAATAATAATCATATATATATAATATCTTATATATAGATATGTATATATAGATAGAAAAGATCTATAGATATAGAGAGAGAGAGAGAGAGAGAGAGAGAGAGAGAGAGAGAGGAGGAGAGAGGAGATCGAGGGGGTATGCATGTTGAGGGGACGAATGAGGAGAGAGGAGAGAGAGAGAGGAGGGAGACGGAGAAGAGAGGGGCGGAGAGAGAGAGAGGAGAGGAGAGACGACATGAGAAGAGAGAGAGAGAACGAGAGAGAGATGGTGGAGAGAAGGCGAGGAGAGAGCAGATTAGAGAGACAAGATGAGACGAGAGAGAGAGAGAGGAGGGAAGAGAGGGGGGAGAGAGAGAGAGAGGACTGATGAGAGATGATGGGTGAGGAGAAGAGGAGAGGAGAGAGAGAGAGGTCATTTTCAACAGATATATTTAGTTCAGAGTAAATTACTGGGAGAAGACAACAGATTGATGTTAATTACAGAATGAACACTGAATTAAAAAGGGCCACATATCCAGTATTGGGAGAGGTTCTGTTACCTTGGTGATCTTGATGCCCCCATCCTTTCCTTTCTTCCCCTTATTGGTAGAAGGGTGGTTGTGTCTGGCGCTGTCGTAATCCACAAGCTTCCTGTCACGCTTAGCGATACGAGACTGAAGAAGAACAACATGACTTTACTGTCCAGAGAAACGGGACTAACACACGTGATGAGAGCAGGTCGGTAGGCAGTATGTATGAATCAAAGCTAATCATCAGGAAGGGAGTACGATGATGACGATCCTACCTTAATATCAGGAAACTGCCCCATATAGGATCCTACCTTAATATCAGGAAACTGCCCCATATAGGATCCTACCTTAATATCAGGGAACTGCCCCAGATAGGATCCTACCTTAATATCAGGGAATTGCCCCACATAGGATCCTACCTTAATATCAGGGAATTGCCCCACATAGGATCCTACCTTAATATCAGGGAACTGTTCCGGATATGATCCTACCTTAATATCAGGGAACTGTTCCAGATATGATCCTACCTTAATATCAGGGAACTGCCCCATATATGTGTCCATAGATATCAAAGCATTATCCACAAGCTTCTGATGGAAGTCTGTCCACAGAACGTCACTGTCCTGCAACCGGAACAGAAACAAGGACGTCGCCATTAAATTGCACTAGAACACACACACACACACACACACACACACACACACACAATGTATTTACCTGTATATAGGGCAGACACTGAGCCAAAGGGTCAGCTGAGCCAAACGGTTAGTTGAGCCAAAGGGTTAGTTGAGCCAATGGATTAGTTGAGCCAATGGATTAGTTGAGCCAAAGGGTTAGCTGAGCCAAAGGGTTAGCTGAGCCAATGGGTTAGCTGAGCCAAAGGGTTAGTTGAGCCAAAGGGTTAGCTGAGCCAAAGGGTTAGTTGAGCCAAATGGTTAGCTGAGCCAAAGGGTTAGCTGAGCCAATGGGTTAGTTGAGCCAAAGTTTTAGTTGAGCCAAAGGGTTAGCTGAGCCAAAGGATTAGTTGAACCAAAGGGTTAGCTTAGCCAAAGGGTTAGCTGAGCCAAAGGGATAGTTGAGCCAAATGGTTAGTTGAGCCAAATGGTTAGCTGAGCCAAAGGGTTAGTTGAACCAAAGGGTTAGCTTAGCCAAAGGGTTAGCTGAGCCAAAGGGTTAGCTGAGCCGAAGGGTTAGCTGAGCCAAAGGGTTAGCTGAGCCGAAGGGTTAGCTGAGCCAAAGGGTTAGCTGAGCCACCCCCTTGTTTCTAGGAAACCATATTTAGGAAGAAGTCATTATCATCTATGTTTTCAAAACTGTTCTGTTTACATGAATTCTGTTTATTTCACGGGATACAACTGAAATACTGTATACGTAGACATTTTTGTGAGAAATAATATGATATATTTACCTTGACGTAGTGACGCGGAATGCAAAAAATGGCTCAACATACCCCACTCTCTGCTACAGCTGGATGACCAGCCTACCTCAAATGTGTACACACCATTCAGCTCCTTAAATAAGTCTGACGCTACACACATTCCTAACTACGTAATTCCTAAGTCTATGACTCCACTGAGTATTTAAAACAAATACAATTACCTCAATGTTGTTTTCCCAACTTCTCTAAGCCTCTAGTTACACTAGAGAGAGAATAATGTGGAGAAAATGAAGGGGACTAATGAAGGACAAATGAGGCATGAATGAATGAATGAGCACAGATGATGAGCATAGCAGAAGTATAGCTAGGTACTGAGAAGAACACAATGGACAGGGAACTGGTGATATGAGAGAGGAGAGGGTAGCCTCGTTCAACCATCCTGATCTCACTACAACGAGAGCACTGCGGTCAGGATGGTTGATCAGGCTAGGGGGAGTCGAGGATTTACGGCTACAGTCTGGGATTTGGGAAGCTGTTAAATGGTCCTTTCAATTAGCAGGACTGCCGTTATGTTGTTGTTTTCTTCGAATACCAGAATGTAGCTTTAATGCAGTTAAAAAGGAATGTGTCGGAGCGCTAGATCAGAGCCAGAATCATACTATGAAAGCTATGCTCTAATATCAAACTGTGCTAACTCAACACACGAGTACAGCTCCTACTTCTGTCACAAGGGAGAGTGATGGTGAGAATGACCGTGAGTGAGTGAGAGTGAGAGAGAGAGAGAGTGAGTGGGACAGGGAGAGAGAGTGAGAGAGACAGGGAGAGAGAGAGCAAGAGAGACAGGGAGAGAGACAGGGAGAGAGAGAGTGAGAGCGAAAGTGAGAGAGACAGGAAGAGAGAAGGAATGATTGAGGGCTGAGAGACTGTGACAGAGGAAGAGACAGGAGGGACTGACAGAGGAGATACTGTGACAGAAGAAGAGACAGGAGGGACTGACAGAGGAGATACTGTGACAGAAGACGAGACAGGAGGGACTGACAGAGGAGAGACTGTGACAGAAGAAGAGACAGGAGGGACTGACAGAGGAGAGACTGTGACAGAAGAAGAGACAGGAGGGACTGACAGAGGAGAGACTGCGACAGAGGAAGAGACAGGAGGGACTGACAGAGGAGAGACTGCGACAGAGGAAGAGACAGGAGGGACTGACAGAGGAGAGACTGCGACAGAGGAAGAGACAGGAGGGATAGAGGGATGGGTCAGTGAAGGAAGTTAATCTGACTTTTGTAGCATAAATAAAGATGACCTCTGACCTCAACGATAGAGTCCACTTCATCTTTGCCGTACCACTCCGGCTCATACATGTCAGACAGACACTCCTGAAGGTTCTTGGAGGACTCGTGCATCGCTGTAGACAGGCAGAGAGACAGACAGACAGTGAAGGAGATAGTGCTGTGCCGTGACTGTAGTGAGGAATGCACCATGGTTCTGCACTGACTACAAATATCCGGGTCGTGTCAATTAAGGACTACAAGGTAAACACTTTAATGGGCTCCCTGTTTCAGTCTAGGACTGGAGTCTTAAGGGTTATGTAGACATCACAGAGAAAGTCTTACTTTGTACTGCAGCCAGGTAGACCCTCAGGTCTTTTTGCAGTTTGGATCCCTCTGTCTGAAAACAGAACATAAAACACGTGATTTTACACAGATTACATCTTTGGTGGGTGAGACAAGGGAAGACTGTGGATTGAACTATAGATGGCAAGGAATGGAGGCAGCCACTGGTTGTTTCAGTCCAGGGCTGTTGTCTTAAGGGGTATGTAGAAATAACATAAATAATCCTACTTTGTATTGCAGCCAGGTAGACCCTCAGGTTTTTTTTAGCGGTTAAGAGCATTTGGTCAGTAACTGAAAGGTCGCTGGTTTGAAACCTCGAGCTGACTAGGTGAAAAATCTGTCGATCTGTCACTTAACCCTAATTGCTCCAGTAAGTCCCTCTGGAAAATAGCGTCTGCTAAATGACTAAAATGTTAAATGGTTGGGTTCGTACAAGATTCTTACATATTGTTTGTTGAAGTTGATAACTCCCTCCTCAAATGCAACATCTCTGGTCTCATCTGCTTTCCCCAGCTTCTGCATAACCTGGAAAAAGACATTCAAGCATGGATACAGCAGATACACTACCAGTCAAAAGTTTGGACACACCTACTCATTCAAGGGCTTTTCTTTATTTGTACTATTTTCTACACTGTAGAATAATAGTGAAGACATCAAAACTATGAAATAATACAGTGGGGGAAAAAAAGTATTTAGTCAGCCACCAATTGTGCAAGTTCTCCCACTTAAAAAGATGAGAGAGGCCTGTAATTTTCATCATAGGTACACGTCAACTATGACAGAGAAAATGAGGAAAAAAAATCCAGAAAATCACATTGTAGGATTTTTAATGAATTTATTTGCAAATTATGGTGAAAAATAAGTATTTGGTCAATAACAAAAGTTTCTCAATACTTTGTTATATACCCTTTGTTGGCAATGATACAGGTCAAACGTTTTCTGTAAGTCTTCACAAGGTTTTCACACACTGTTGCTGGTATTTTGGCCCATTCCTCCATGCAGATCTCCTCTAGAGCAGTGATGTTTTGGGGCTGTCGCTGGGCAACACGGACTTTCAACTCCCTCCAAAGATTTTCTATGGGGTTGAGATCTGGAGATTGGCTAGGCCACTCCAGGACCTTGAAATGCTTCTTACGAAGCCACTCCTTCGTTGCCCGGGCGGTGTGTTTGGGATCATTGTCATGCTGAAAGACCCAGCCACGTTTCATCTTCAATGCCCTTGCTGATGGAAGGAGGTTTTCACTCAAAATCTCACGATACATGGCCCCATTCATTCTTTCCTTTACACGGATCAGTCGTCCTGGTCCCTTTGCAGAAAAACAGCCCCAAAGCATGATGTTTCCACCCCCATGCTTCACAGCAGGTATGGTGTTCTTTGGATGCAACTCAGCATTCTTTGTCCTCCAAACACGACGAGTTGAGTTTTTACCAAAAAGTTCTATTTTGGTTTCATCTGACATTCTCCCAATCCTCTTCTGGATCATCCAAATGCACTCTAGCAAACTTCAGACGGGCCTGGACATGTACTGGCTTAAGCAGGGGGACACGTCTGGAATTGCAGGATTTGAGTCCCTGGTGGCGTAGTGTGTTACTGATGGTAGGCTTTGTTACTTTGGTCCCAGCTCTCGGTAGGTCATTCACTAGGTCCCCCGTGTGGTTCTGGGATTTTTGACCCCACGGGGTGAGATCTTGCATGGAGCCCCATATCGAGGGAGATTATCAGTGGTCTTGTATGTCTTCCATTTCCTAATAATTGCTCCCACAGTTGATTTCTTCAAACCAAGCTGCTTACCTATTGCAGATTCAGTCTTCCCAGCCTGGTGCAGATCTACAATTTTGTTTCTGGTGTCATTTGACAGCTCTTTGGTCTTGGCCATAGTGGAGTTTGGAGTGTGACTGTTTGAGGTTGTGGACAGGTGTCTTTTATACTGATAACAAGTTCAAACAGGTGCCATTAATACAGGTAACGAGTGGAGGACAGAGGAGCCTCTTAAAGAAGAAGTTTCAGATCTGTGAGAGCCAGAAATCATGCTTGTTTGTAGGTGACCAAATACTTATTTTCCACCATAATTTGCAAATAAATTCATTAAAAATCCTACAATGTGATTTTCTGGAATTTTTTTATCATTTTGTCTGTCATAGTTGACGTGTACCTATGATGAAAATTACAGGCCTCTCTCATCTTTTTAAGTGGGAGAACTTGCACAATTGGTGGCTGACTAAATACTTTTTTTCCCCACTGTACATATGGAATCATGTAGTAACCAAAAAAGTGTTAAACAAATCAAAATATATTTTATATTTGAGATTCTTCAAAGTAGCCACCCTTTGCCTTGATGACAGCTTTGCACACTCTTGGCATTCTCTCAACCAGCTTCACCTGGAATGCTTTTCCAACAGTCTTGAAGGAGTTCCCACATACGCTGAGCACTTGTTGGCTGCTTTTCCTTCACTCTGCCGTCACTAAGACAATCTCAGGGTAGGTCATTTACAGTGTAATAATTACACTGTATGCACTTCTATAAAAATATTAATAAAGTAAAGTAACCATGTTATAGTGTATCCACTGCGTTCATCCACCTCTGGCCTGCTGGCCCCCCTACCTCTGCGGGAGCACAGTTCCCGCTCAGCCCAGTCCAAACTATTTGCTGCTCTGGCACCCCAATGGTGGAACAAGCTCCCCCACGACGCCAGGACAGCGGAGTCACTGACCACCTTCCGGAGACACTTGAAACCCTACCTCTTTAAGGAATACCTGGAATAGTATAAAGTAATCCTTCTACCACCCCCCCCCCCCCCCCCCCTGTCGATGTGCCCTTGAGCAAGGCACTTAACCCTAATTGCTCATGTAAGTCGCTCTGGATAAGAGCGTCTGCTAAATGACTAAAATGTAAATGTTATGGATGCGACACGGAATGTAGTGGACATTGTTATTGAATAGCCACTGCATTATAGCAGGCCAGATAGATAATTAATTTAATTAGCAGAACATCCAATTGCTTTAGCTACACTAATAATACAATTATTTATATTGGCCAATTTGGAATACCCACCAGCATCTAGCCTATTGGATGTGTGTAAGGAAATAACTGATGGATTAAATAGCATCCTGTTCAGTATGACGGTGCAGTGACATAACCAATGGGTTGGACTGTACTTTTCTCTGCAATCATTTTTGAAAAAACGTTTGCTTAAAAACTGGAAATCAAATTACCCTGCATCATTAAGACAGTGGATGAATCAAAATGACCCTCCATCGTTAAGACAGTGGATGAATCAAATGACCCTCCATCATTAAGACAGTGGATTAATCAAAATGACCCTCCATCATTAAGACAGTGGATGAATCAAAATGATCCTCCATCGTTAAGACAGTGGATGAATCAAATGACCCTCCATCATTAAGACAGTGGATGAATCAAATGACCCTCCATCGTTAAGACAGTGGATGAATCAAATGCATTATTATTTATTTATTGTGGTCCTCTGTAGCTCAGCTGGTAGAGCATGGCGCTTGTAACGACAGGGTAGTGGGTTCGATTCCCGGGACCACCCATACACAAAAATGTATGCACGCATGACTGTAAGTCGCTTTGGATAAAAGGGTCTGCTAAATGGCATATTATTATTATTATTAAATATAGAAAAGATATGGGCTACAGGGAGAAACAGAATAGCAATTTGAGCTCATTTGGCATAGAGTCTTACAAGCACTAGAAATGGAAGCTGTGGGAACATGTGTGTCTGAGCAGGTGTGATGTCATCGATGTTTATGTGTCTGTATTTTCTCTTTTGTCTATGTATGGTTTATATATTTTGAAGATTTAAAAAAAAAAAATCTTACAACAACAAATGTACCGCTATCCTGTCGATGGTACTATGTTTTTATAAAGGTGATGTGTCATTGGACGGAACCAGATATCATAATGGAAAATAACCGAAACAAACGGTAAATAACAACAAATTAAACCTTATTCTGTTTCTTACCTTCTCTTGGGCCCGTGTTAATTTCTTCTGCACGTTACTAGCGAGTTTCCCCGCAGTAACCCCCTTCCCCATCCCCAGCTCAGCCATTTTGTCTTCCGATAAGCTCTCGATTCAATATATTACAAATAAGAACTCCTACGGAAAAAGAAGAGACATCAACGTCACCGCTCGTTATATTAGGCTTATGTCCCGTTACAACGTTTCGTAACGGGTGACTGTGTGTTCCGAATAGACCAAGCGAAGGTTTTCCAGCTTCCAGCGATGCGTAGGGTACGGTAGCCTTCCGTTATGTCAGTCAGTGGATGATAATAACCAATGCAGAGGGGTTGCCTCTTAAAGCGACAGCTGACTAGCCCACTGCACATCCTACTATTTCCTTAGGCCTACTGTCATTTCCCCTTTATGCACTTGGAGGCGACATTGCTTTGGTCAGCTCACCAAATAAAACGGAAAGTCCTGTCTGGACTAAAGACTTGTACTGTAAAAAGTCCTGTCTGGACTAAATACTTGTACTGTAAAAAGTCATGTTTGGACTAAAGACTTGTACTGTAAAAAGTCCTGTTTGTACTAAAGACTTGTACTGTAAAAAGTCCTGTTTGGACTAAAGACTTGTACTGTAAAAAGTCCTGTTTGGACTAAAGACTTGTACTGTAAAAAGTCCTGTTCGGACTAAAGACTTGTACTGTAAAAAGTCCTGTTTGGACTAAAGACTTGTACTGTAAAAAGTCCTGTTTGGACTAAAGACTTGTACTGTAAAAAGTCCTGTTTGGACTAAAGACTTGTACTGTAGGCCTACTAACTGTGTGAAGGAGTACAGTATGGGAACAACCAGAGAAAAACAATAGGCTAGTTAAAGACAAAGGCCGAGGTTAGTGTCAATACATCAAACACAAACTGTAGCTTATTGTGTGGGCCGGTCCGACGCTGTCCATGGTGCTGAATGACTGTAAGTCTACTACAGGCCCGGTACCTGTCCATGGTGCTGAATGGTCAGTGTTCTGTGTGTGAATGTTGTGGACCACGGACAACGCACGGGGGAACGGTTTTCCCTAGATTTTTCTTCAAAAT